GCAAGCATCCTTAAGTTCATGATAATGATTTCTGTCTGGTTGAGTTTTAAACCACCAGCGTTAGTCATTTTTCTCATTGCTAAGAGTGAGAGAGAGTTGGGTTAAGATGTTTTCTTGATCTTTGTTAATTTTTTCTTTTCCTTTGATAATTTTTTTGTTACCATTGCTGATATCATCATCTTCATCAATATTATTATTATTTGTTGTTGTTGTCATTGTTCAGAGAATGCTGGTTGTATTCCACTCATTATTCTTCACATAGTTGTCATCCTGGAGAATCTGTTGAAAGATTTCTTGTTGTTTTTCTAATTAATTTTCTCTTTTGTAGCTTTCTTGATTACCTGATCAGGGTTTAAAAGATCTGGTGATCTCATAACTGTGATTCTGGCTGAATTCAGACTGAATTCTGAGATCATTTCTGAACTGGTCATATATTTTTCAGTTAAAACTACTATTTTTGGATGGAGATACCAGGATCCTCATAGACTTTTCAGGATGCAGTAAGACTTTTTCATTCTGTAAAGAAATATTTTTTCAGCTGCAAAGAGAATGATATAGATCTGCCTCTTCATTATAATAATATTCAGGATAATAGCGAGAATAGTTTTCTTTTACTAAAGATAAATTTGTCTCTTCTTCATCATCTTCATCTTCATCATCTACAACTTCTTCTTCTTTTTCTTCTTCATTTTGCAATTGAATAATAAGTTTTTTTTTTTCTATCTTCATATTTACTGCAGTTATAATAATCTAAATGGCATCTATTTCTATACCAATGGCAAAAATAATTTCTTAGACTGTATTCTTTATAGAAGTGTTTTTTCTCAGCTTCATCTTCATATTTAATTATTTTTAGTATTTCAACACAATTCCAATATTTGTATCCTCTATGAGGTGAATCTCCCCAATAATTTGAATTACAAATGTATGGAATTCTGGAGCGTTGTGATGAAAAGATTCTTTGTGAATACTTGAATTTGATATAATAATAGTTTTCAAGTGAAATTATTTTGAAAGTTATGATTCTTGTCCCAGTAATGGTGATATAAGATTTAACCAATTCCATAAGCTTAGTTTAATAACTTTGTGATCAGATAGATTAACTTTCTATGAGAATATATAGTTCTGGTAACAATCTTTGATGATATAATTTAGTCTTTTACTATTAACTGGTATTTTCAAAATTTTTTTATTTAGTATTCTTAATTTGTATGTGTTATTTTCAAGTATATTATAAATGTAATATGATTCTTTCCATTTATCTTCCAGCTTTTTTTTGTTTCTTAGATGACTTTTATAAAATAAGACTTGTTCTTCAATTTTGAATATGTGAGTTTCTTTCATTTTTGCATTTTATTATTGTTCTTGTTTTTGCTGAGACTTGGTAACATTTTTTTTTGCTTTAAGTCTATCTCTTTTTAGTTATATAATCAATTTATGTATTCTTTCTAATAGAATATTAACTTTATCTTCTTCTTTTGTTATTATATTATTACAGTTAATAGACAATATTACTTTTCTTCTATAAGTCAAGTAAAATAATTCAAACTTTATGATATTATGCTGTATATTTTTATAAGTGAATAGGACAAATGATATATATAGATCCCAATTATCTTTTTTTTATTTGCATATTTCACATAAAGCATTCTACTAGTCCATTAATTTGTGAATGATATGCTGTTGACAAACTATGCTTGGTTCCAAGTTGTTGACATAAGGTATTCAGAATTTATTTACAAAGTGACTTTCTCTATCAGTTAATAATACTTTTGGACATTCATATTGACAAATAATATCTTTATAAAAGAAACTAGTTACTGATAAAGCTTTTGCATCTGGTAAGACTTTTGCTTCTGATCATTTTGTAAGATAATCAATAGTGACTATAATATATTTATTGTCTCTTGCTATTTCAGATAGTGATCCAACAAAATCCATTCCAATTCTATAAAGATTATTCTATTGGTATGATGTGTAAAGATTCATTTCTTTTATTCTTTCTTCTCTTCTGACATTGATTATAACTTTTTATATATCTTCTAATATCATCATACATTTGAGACCAATAGTATCTTGCTTTAACTTTTCTAAATATTTCTTCTATATTAAAGTGTTCTGCCAGCAGATCTTCATAAAAGTAATATAATATATCATTCACTTCTTCTTTCTTTAATACTTTAAATAGACTATTTGGTAAATTTTTATTTTTTTTATAAAGCTATTTATTTTTAACTATAAAATAGTGTGCTTTTCTTTTAATTGATGCTCTTTGTTCTTTGATTAGATTCTCTGGTAATGTTAAGTTTATCAAGTAATTGGTAATGTATATATATAATTCAAATTCTATTATAATCAAAAGCTGATATCCAGTAAGTGATTGTTCAATATATGTTTTCAAATATAATTATTAATCAAATAATATTATATTTTAATTTTACTTAGAATGTCTACATTAGAATATTGTTTTCCAGATCTGTTGATAATATCATAATCATATCTATTAAGAGTCATAAGTCATCTTTCAAGTTTATCAGTGGAGTTTGCCATGTTTTTGAGATGAACCAGAGCAGAGTGATCAGTAATAACAAGAAATCTTTGTTCATGTAAGTAGTGATGAAAGTATCTAATTGTCCAAATTATAGCTAGACATTCTAATTCAGTTATACTGTAATTTTGTTCATGTTTATTTAGAGTTCTACTGGCATAAGTGATAACATATTCAATATTGTCATCATCTTTTTGTTGTAGAATTGCTCCAAGTACAAAGATAAATGCATTAGTATATAGAATAAATAGTTTGTTGAAGTTTGAATAAGCGAGTACTGATAATGTTGTCAGATGATCTTTTAAATTTTCAAATACTTGTTATTGTTCTTTTGTTAAAACATGTTACCTAAAACAAATACAACTCAAAAAACAACAAGTCATTATACAAAAACACAATTCACAAAATGAACAGAAAGATTCTCAAATTCTACCTCACTACAACCCTACAATACCATCATCAAAATTCATTCTGATCCCAATCTATATTCTTGTGACTTTCCAATCTTAGCACATTTACCTCAAAGAAAGTCTTATTAAACTATATAGCATCTTGACTTTATCAAATCATATGCAATTAAAAAATAACTCAGACATTCTCATTATAAAATCAGCCGTAGTTTAGTTCTGGACTGGTTACAGTGACTAGTCATTTTGTAGTTTCTCATTATTTGTTTTCCTTAAAGGCTTAATTATATCATAACTAGTTATTAATTTACCTTGTATCTTAGATTAGTTAACAATTTAAGCAGGATTATACTGTAGCATTTTAAATAATAATAATATAAATAATATAAATAATATAATATATAATATAATATGAGAATATAAATAATATAAATATAAAAATCTTAACTAAATAAAATATAAACATGTGTTCTTAAAATTATCCAATAATATTAAATATAATTTTGACTAATAATTAATATGAAATTTTATTATATAACAATAATCATATCTTTCTATAGTTATTCTATTTTGCTTTTTCAATTATAATAAAAAACTCTTTATAGTCAAATTTTTTTTATAGTTACCAAATTTTGCTTTTCTAAGAATGGTAATTATAAAAAGATTTGATTATACTATAATAATTACTTATAATATTTTGAGATCAAGAATAATCTTCATAAAGATCAATTAAAAATATACATTATGAATATTATAAAATATGTGCAAGTTTTTAAGAAAGCAGAACTTATAAATATTACTGATAATAAGAAAGATATTGAATAATAATCTATTAAAATTAGCATAAATATAGAAATATAATATGCAAGGAATTTTTAGAGCAACAGGAAAAAATAAAAGAAGAGGATGTAATTAATTTTAGGAAAATATTAAAATCTGTAAATATTTCAGTTATTGATTTCAAGCAACAAGCAAAAATTACTAATTTCTTTGATTAGCAATAATAATATTTTATTTTATATTTATTTATAAAGAACTTTGTTTCATAAAAGTATAAATACTATTAAAGTATCTTCTATCAAAATCTTGATGCTTTATGAAAAATTACAATCTTCTTGATGCTTTAAAATTTATATTCTTGCAAAACTTTTCAAAATTATCTAAAGAACTCTAATATCAAACCATCACTCAATAACAATTCATCATTAATACCGAACCATCACCAGCAACAACACATCACAATTGAAACATCACCTAGCAAAACTGAATCATTATCAGCAACAAATCACCACAAGTAACAAATCATAAACTGAACCACCATCACCACAATCGAGTGAAACTGAACCACTATCAGCAATAAATCACCACCAAAATCAAAACATCATCTAACAAAATCTCAATACTTTGTATTCCTAACACTGAAGGATTTGTTTGCTTTCGTTTAAAAAAAATTCGAGTTTGAATTTCAAGCAAGATTAATACCATCATTGTGTTGGCTTATGCCAGGTTTATTATCACTTTATTTCTCGAGAGTTTCCCTTTAATCCTGATTATTGCGATCAAACCATCATTACCAAGAGTTTGTGCACGAATTAAGCCATGATCCAATGATTCCAACAGCGAATTTACAATTTCCAACCTAATTCTAACCAGTCAAGAATTAAATCCCAAGAATTTCAATTTTTGAAACTAAAGGTGCAAACATAACAGCAAAACAACAAATTGGAACAAAACTAACACTAAAATCAGTGAAATAGTGAAAGGGTTACCAAAGAAGAGCTCAGAAATACTGCTCATTTCGACCACAGAATAACAGTTACGGTAATATCCGGTATACTAACATTTCTATACATATATGATGTTACTATATCGATAGAGCAACATCTCAATATAGTAACACAAAATCTCCTCCCCCGATCGCGTTACTATAACGAGCGCCCACTGTGTATATTATAGGGTTAAAACTGGTGTTACATGAAAGCGGGAATCAGTTTTAAAAGAAATTCGAATATAGAGCTACAATAGTCACCGCAATTCACAAGAAAATGATACTTCCACGCTCTTCGTACCCACTCCAAGGAGTATACTACTTTCTTACAAACTGGAGTCTAGTTCGGAGAATAATTTGTGTTCTCTTTCTAACATTAGTAGTAGCACTTCTTGCATTTGGACTGTCGTTTGCGTTTCTACTTCGTCTACAAGCAATTGGGCTCTCCGATGTCGGAGTTCCTGCATGGTTATCATGGATACTTTCGGTGATTCTATGTATTATAGAAAGTGCGGTATTCACTTTGGTTTTTTATTTAATTGCTACTCCGATTTGGCAAGACGCGTTGTTTGACCAGGTGTTGAGGCTGAAAGGATTATCGCGGGTGTTGGACGAACGAGAAAGAAATGTTTCCGATCTGACATTGTGTTGTCGTGGTTTCTCGGCTGGGTTGACTTTGGTAGTGTTTCAGATCTATACGTTGATAATTGTGGAGGTTATGTAAAATCAATGAGATTTCGATGGATGCTTGATTATAATTAATTGCAAACATGTCTTTTTTCGAACTTTTAGACTTTTATGATAATTCTCACATTACCATTACATCTGATTCCTGTATTGGGCACTTTCCTCTATTGTTATGTTAACGGGTGGGTACTGGCTTGGGGCCACCAACTACATTATCATCTCGAAATCAAACAATGGACATTAAGCCAATCACGAAAATTCGCGTGGCAACAACGAGATGACTTTCTAATGTTTGGTACGGTGGCGGTCGCGTTGGAGATGATCCCAATTGCAAACTTCTTGTTTGTTTGGACGAATGTTGTTGGTGCTGCGTTGTGGACTGCTGATGTTATAATCGATGAGCAGAAGCGTTCGGGTACCAGTGATGCTGATAGCAGAAGGGGGTTAAACAGCTCTAGCGGAGTTGGATCTGGTTATGTTGCTTATACCGCTTCACCCATCGCTTCACCTAAATCTTCGGGTGTTGTGTCATATCAAGCAATTACTTCGAATCAATGATTGTACGTATTTTGGGATTGGGCTTTTAAATTTATGTTTTATATATTAACAATTGTATAGTAAATATCTTCATGTTTTATATATTAACAAATGTATAGTAAATATCTTCACTAATTTATCGCATTAAATCGAAGATTTATTAACAGTATAAAAATACACATGCACTCAATCAAGTTCACAATATAGCATACACATAAACACAGATGGATCAATACTTGATTCTTAAACAGTAAAAAATAATTGTTTTTCACTGTTAAATTAATCCTTTGGTAATACGCATATCTCGCAATTTACAGCAGTGCGTGGATTCGAATATGTGCAATGCCTGCAACTCCATCCTCCTCTCGCATCCGATGAAGCGCTGCCTTCTGCTATTGCATCATCGACAGCAACGCTGGGTATTGTCTGTGTCGCGCCAAAGTTTACATCTTGATTTCTTATTGGTGCATTATCTGCATTTGAAACAAATTAACGATGTCAGTTATTGTTTTTTCCCAATATAAGTAAGCAGAAAAACACAAAACCAAAATGCGGGAACTTACCATTCTCTTGCATTATAGCCAAAAATGTCTGCCATCCGGAATTCTCAGAAAGGGCAGCAGCATCAGCCTCAGAATGTGTAACAGCGATTCTTGCCAACGTATCAAAATCCTTCTATGTATTATTTTTGAGATATAAGCCAAATAGATGATAATCTTTACGCGCAATAACAGGAAAGATTTATTCTGATCGATACCTTATCGAATATTCCAGTACTCTTTATATATGTAAGTAGATGGAAATCCGACAATACATTCACTAGATGAGCGTCACCTTTAGTTGCGTCGAGATGGTTCTGTAGCGTTTTGAGATCTTGTGCTTCAATACCCGGACGATTTTCGATCGAGAAACTTTTTGGTGATGTGAAAAGAGGTGTTTGGTTTAATGGGAAACCATGCGTGACCTTATATGTGAAGTATCGAAATTAATATGCAATCCCATAAAAAAATATCGCATAAGAGTTTACTTACATTTAATAGCAAATATTCGACCGGAAAACAAGGCTTTGCGCTCTCTTGTACATTCACACCATATTTATTTTTGTACTTGTAAAATACTTCAGGAACATAGCGTTCCAAAGTACTTTCCTTCACACGCATCACACTAGGCTCTACACTCGGCTCGATAATGTCAGCAGCTACCATCGCCTCACAAGTACTAGAAACCTGATATGCATGCACATCAACCTCGCCATTCTCGTTTCCCGTTACGACACATGTCACAAATTTACTCGAGAATTTTCCGGAGGCGCTCAATTTCGTGACATTGGGGTTTTTGGTTTGCATTGCGGCAGAGAAACAGCATTCTTGGGAAGAAAGAAAATAAGAGTCAATGTGTCGCTTGCAAATTACTTTTCCTTGACCAGCATCCATAAGATCGGTGTATATCATTCCGACCTTATGATTATTCGAATTGTAATATTTTTAATATCAATTAGAATTAGCGAACGTTCTATTGGTCTGTTCGTAATTTCAAAAATCTCACTTTGAATAATCCACAAGCAGCAGCTCCCTCATCGACTGATTCTTCTTCATTCCATGGGAGATTGAGACTTAATCCATCCGTTTGGTTTTCTTGTGGTGGCTCATAAATCGCCTCCACAACTGCTTTTATGCCTAATGGAACATCAGGGTAAGGCTCATACCGTCCATATAAATATCCAAACCGTTGATATCCAGTAGATCGCCAGAAATTAATAAAGTCATTAATGAGATTCGATGTCGAAAATTCAATATGATCAACCATACGAAATTGCTACAAAAGTTATTATAAAACCAATTAATCGAATCAATAAGAGGAATGCAGTCAATGTTGATTGTTCTCTTACTTGTTGTTGTAATGTCACTGCACTCGGTTGACATTTTGTACAAATACCTTCCGGCCAAGGAGCATGACCATTCAAGCAACGCTGCTTGACACGGTAATCTGGTTCCTCTAGAGGTGGAATAAATTTGGCATTGGTGCCAGTTGTCT